GCACACTTCCTACTTGCGTGAGGAGTGGAATTTGGTTGTTTTTGGTTGGTGATGACGTTGTGTGATGCGGGTGTTGGTAGGGAAGATGTGGTGGTGTGGTTTAACCGGAGGTTGTCTACCGTAGGATTTCGTGAGTGTGTATGTGGCCTAATAGGTCCATGCGGTGGGTGTGTGCGGATGTATTGACGGCAGTTGAGGCAGATGCGGTGAGGGTTTGAGTGCTCCAGGCACTAGTTCGCCAGACTGTGCGATGGATTCGCAAGTAAACGATCAGGCCGATGTGCGAAGTGAAGATGCGGTCGCGATGAGGACAGGTATGTACAGTGAGTGACCTATCTCATGAAATGTTGGTCGAAATTCTGAAATGCGTTTTGGATTAAGAAGGATTACTTAGATGTGGTTGTAATATTGAGTATCATGCGGCATAATACTATAATGTTTTTGACTTCACAGCATGTCGGCTTTTGAATGCGAGGACGAGGTCGGGATTTATTTCCCCTTGTTGACTTTGATGGGATTAGAGGTTGACGAGGCGTCAGGAGTGATCTCACCAATGGTGGATATGGGTGCGGTGGTAGACATCATCGCCGTCCTGGGTTGGGGTTGTGACAGGGATTATTGGGTAACCATTGGGAGATGGCACCTAAAATAATTCTCTTAACCAGGAAATAATACCTACTCTATCTATTTGAGTAGGTTATAGGCCTACATCTTTTTTGTGTCATCCGGGTTTGCCAATCACCAGCAACGACTCTTGAGGTTACCATTTACTTATTCACTTGCTGTGTTATTTCGTTTCTCTTGATAAGTACTTCACAGGTACTCAAGCGCATAGCGTTAGACATCATAGTACATACTTTCACTAACTATCACTAACGACAGCCAACAGACCAATTCTACTTGTTTACCATTCGTTACGGTTCCTTGGATGTCTGATCACAGGCGCTAAATTGGTCCGCGGGTTGCGTAAAATGGTACATGTGTATAGCACTGCTATTTGTTTACTTTTCATTTACCGCGCCTTCTTCCGTTGCCATATAGTGATGAAGTAAAACTTTATCATGTAAAGGGGAATTTCATAAAAAAATATTTCTATTATTCACATTTATCGACGCATCCCAAAGGCCCCACTCGTAAAACCTTTATTACCACCTATCCTGTAAGACAGGCAGCTTTGGTTTAGAGGATTTTTTAGGTGCCATCTCCCAATGCTTACCGATTGTTGTGGTTGGGGTCGATGCCATCGGGTGAGGCGTCGGAGAACCGTGAGGGTGATTATCGGTTGTGGTTGTGTTTGCCGTTGTGTGATTGATTTAGCGGTAACGCTGAGGGCGCTAGCGGGAACGGCATGTGGAGTTGTCAGGATGTTGTTGCTTTGGGTCCAAAAATGTCCTATAGGACCGATCTATGTGTATAATGTTTTGAGGGCGTTGTCTGTTAAGCGTTGTGGTAACCGGTCGACCATCTAGGTAGGCTACATCTTATTCGGTCATAGATTACTTGGGTGGGTTTATGATTGTAGATCAATGCGTGATGCCCACGCTGACACTGTCTGTGTTTCCGCCATGGTCTTGCTTGCGCACGGCCTAGAGTTCGCCAACCATCCGCACCCAAACTGCCACCTGCAAGACGATTTGACGTCATTAGTCTATGACAACCCAGCGCAACCGAAGGTTTGAGTTGATAAACCCTGTATCTCTTTGTAATCCGACTCCAAACACATACTCAGATCTTAAACCTCATACTGATTTTTACGTTAATTTCAGTACTATTGGCGTGCCGTCAAGTTTGCTTGGCTTTCTGTTGGGAGTGCCTACACTCCCAAAAACAAGAGCCAACCAATCACTGGAGATCACGTGCGTTTGCTCTCTCTGCAGCGCTGTCATCTCAATCAGCCGTGTTTCCATTGGCTACTGCCCTCTTCCCGAAGGTCATTGGGCCGAATGCCGTCGATCCGCAGTAGGGTGTTATAAATATGCGTCACCTTTAGCTGGTCGCGACTTGCAGTGTTTTTCTAATACGCTTTCCGTGGCCAGCCGCGTTTTCTTTGTCTGTTGCTTTGGTATTGGGGACCAGGGTCGAGTGCGTATACGCTCCACGGAATTTCAAGTACCAGGCGGGTTATAACAAATTGGCGACGCACTTTCTTAAAATACAATGGTTGACGAGTACGCCTACTTGAAGCAGATGTTGCAGCGGCAGCTGAAGCTGATGGACGCACTCACTGTTAAGCTGTCCAAATCATCCATCGGTCAATCAAGCGCGGCTGGTGGTTCGCAATCTGTTGATCACACTGCCGACTCATATCACCTTTGATTCCTGGTACAAACGATACGAGGACTTTTTCTCTGTCGATGTGGCTGCTCAGGACGATGCATTGGAGGTTCGACTCCTACTTCGCAAACTGGGTCCGGCTGAACACGAGCGTTATGCCAACTTCATCCTCACCAAGAATCCCCAAGAAGTCACGTTCAAGGACACGGTTGAGACGTTGTCGCAGATTTTTGGTGAGCAATCATCCCTTTTCGACACTCGATTTCAGTGCATGCAACTGTGGAAACGAGATGCCGATGATTTCATCACGTATGCGGGCATTATCAATCGTGAGTGTGGACGTTTCCAACTCGGTTCTCTCACTGAAGAACAGTTTTGTTATGACTCGCCTGGTACGTGAAATCCTGTGGAGCGTATGCGCACTCGACCCTTGTCCCCTATACCAGCGCGGCAGAGAAGGGGAACGCGACCGGCCACGAATTGTGTATTAGGAAATTGCAAGTCAAAATGAACTGGAAGTAACGCGTATTTATAACGCCTTACGGTGCTTCGCCGGCGTTCGGCCCAATGCCCTTCGGGAAGAACATTCGAGACGAGCCGGTCGATAATTCGAATATGCTGATCGATCAGGCCCGCGAGGAAAAGCCAATGGAGAGGCGCCACGATTAAGATGATAGCGCAGTAGAGAAAACGCACGTGGCCTCCCGTGAATGGCTGGCTCTTGTTTTTGGGAGTGTAGGCACTCCCAACACCTCCCCTCCAAGTAGGTCAGTACCGCTTCTGGCGTGGGTTGACCTGCATCAGACGTGTTGATCGGCGCACGCGGTTGGTCCGGCGTCTTAGTCGTGGTTTAACGCCTGGAGATACGGGAGCGGAAACTGATACCGAAGATGGTATATCCGAACTGGGCGCAGAAGTGGATTCGGGAACCGACTGATCTGCCGGAATGGCGAAGGTATCCAGTAGGATGTCGAGAGAGAGAGTGACGGCGCCGAATCGAGCCCAGTTGTGTTACTGCAATGTCGCCGTCGGATGTGGTTGTGGTGGCGAACCCAGATGTCATCACCAACGTCGACGTCAAACAACATACTGCCTCTGTGCGATACTATGGTTGCTTAAATCCAATCTGGGAACCCCGCTCGATAATCACGAACGAAGACAGGTGTTCCGATGGAGAGCTTGCTGCGAGAAACTGGAGAAG